ACCTACTGTTCAGGTGCATGCAAGATGGCTCCTGGGTGCGAGTTATGTGAGGTTTGAATTATTAAAGCACCCAGGCACATTGGCTGAGGGGAAAAGATGTTTATCCCAGATCAATATATAGTGTTTAGTGGTAGCAAGGTTTCTAATTACGCCCCCATCTGACCACTCTATAACCTCTTCTCCCACATTTTCGTTTTCTTCTTGGTGCTCCCTTCCCACTCGCCTTCTGTCGGGCGATTTGGCCTACACATAGGGCATCTATGCAAGTACAACACAAATCAATGGGTTCATGTATTAACACTTAAGACATGGAGCAGACAAGGCAGAGGCTCCGGCACCTTTGAACCCAAACACCTCAACCCCTCCAGCCCAAATCGATGCGTTAAAAAAAGGCTTAAACTGCCCATTGCGCTCATACATTTCACATACGTCTTTGCTAATCATTTTCTCAATGCTGTCTCTCTTAGCCTGTCTGGTTTCCTTAGCCTTTGAACGGAAAGTTCATTTCCCAGAGCTCATAAGAATTCCCAGAAGTCTGCATGGCCCAATCTCACCTCCGCGCCACAGCCAGACACCCTGTTAAAGGCTATTACAACGGATAATTCTCCTGCTTCATCCCGACAAGACGCAGACAGGACCCCGAACATTAGCTAATCCATACTTATTGCATCTGGATACCTCTCTCAGCCTTGTAATTCATATGGTGAGACATATTAGCGTGACATATTAGGCTGGCAACAGGTCTGTGAGGTGAGATGCTACGCTGAGGCTCAATTGACTTAGCTTCTGCCCGCTGGGACATCATCGGGCACTGCTGCTCCAGCCAGAGAGGACTTGGTGTCTGTATTGAGTTTCTCTGATGGCTGTTTAGGATGTAGTGCTACGAGGGGTAGAGAGGGCCAGTGTAAAGGTGTTCTGGCTCATTGGGTTTACAGACAGGAGGCCTGCAGACCACAAAGCTATGGGGATCAATAGTATTGCACAGCACTGCGAGGCTGGGCCAGACACAAACATACGGAGATTACATTACATGTGTAGGATTCAATAAGGGAAAGCTCCCCCTTATTGAAACGCCTGAATTTGGAAAGACAACCTGTTTTATATACATGTGAAACTTGGACAATTAGAATATTGTTCAAAAGTCCACTTACTTCTGTATTACAACTTACAATGTGAGACTAATAATGTCAAGCCTTTAACTGTTATAAGGTTGATTGCTCACAAACCCAAAATCTCAGAAGATATCATTTATTTTGAAAATGCACAATGAACTGTAACATAATCATCAAAATGATAACAAATAATAGCTTTAAATAGGGTGGATTACGGAAATAATGTTTAAACAATTTTTTTTTTTGTTCCTTGCTAATCCACGGGGGTCTAAGGACATCCAGGACATCTATGGACATCTTATTGTGTTTATTGTATTTATTATTGCATTCCCTGTGATTCTGTAATCTTTTGTTGATGAAGTTTTGTAAAGTTCTCCGAAACAACTGTAACTACAAGTTACAGTTGGCACGGTGGCTGAGTGGATAGCACTCTCGCCTCTCAGCAAGAAGGTCCTGGGTTCGAATCCCGGTTGGACCAGGGCCTTTCTGAGTGGAGTTTGCATGTTCTCCCCGTGTCTGCGTAGGTTTCCTCCGGGTGCTCCGGTTTCCCCTACCACTAAAAATATGTACAATAGGTCTGGCATGTGCCTCCTGTACTGGCACCACCACTCCCAAAAATAACAATTGTAAACCGCTTTGAGACTCCGATGTGCAGTGAAAAGGCGGTATATAAATAAAGATTACTACTACTACTACTACAATAAAAAAGGAATTGAATATATAACTTTCCTTCAAAGACAAACTGAATGGTTGAACATGGACAAAGCACTATTCCGAAATTATGTTTATTTATTGGCACAGATAAATTATTCATTTTGGGATTTTTGTTGTTGTTGAAAGGTTTACAATTTGCCCTTTACCAAGTAGTCTTTTGAAAAGCCAGATACATTTTAGTCCCATACAAGTAAAGTTTAACACCTTCTTGAACAAAATCTTTCAAAGACTAATAACTTCGAGTAACGATCAAACGGAAAAGATTTCATGAACGCCTTTCCTTCCCTCGTCAGTCCGTTGCAAACAAACCAAACTAAATGGCCAATTCACACTGCAGCAAACAGTTACACCTTCAGCTCAAACAATCAGGGCCTGTCTGCTTCCCCGTGTCACCCGGGCCGACATTTTTGCGGCTTCCAGACCTGCTGACATGGCCACCCAGCCTGAGCGGGACTGGCTGCTGGGTCCTGGAGTTGACATTTATTAAGGGGAGTTAGCAAGAGATGACAGCCCTCTCGCCCAGTCACTTTTAACCATTCCAAAACCGGTACATCCTTGCAACAATAAAAAATAGCAATGAAGCCATTAGGATCTGTATGGCTCTAAATGGACTTTTGCTCTCATGTCTTTTTTTTGGGGGCTTTTTCCCGGAGAGAACCAATAGCGTTTAGCTTTAACTACACGTGACGTTTCGACAAGATGTAGTAAATGAAGTAGGATGAATATTTGTAGGCCGCGAGGGGGGACGTAGAGCTTAGTAGACCGTGAGGAACAATGAAAATCACAAAAGAAGTGGAGTGAAATGTGTGCGTGTGTATGTGTGTGTGTGGAGGGCCAGATGTGCTGTGGATGGATCAAACATCTGCTGGCTGGGGATGGCCTCAATGATCTCGATTGAACTGCTAGTAAACCTTTTGGGGTTCTTTTTTTTTTTATTACCTGCGAATTATGGAGCAATATGATCTATGGAAACCAAGCAAGTGCATGTTGAAAGTGTATACGGTTACATTGGGGGGAGATATTTGACTAATTTATTGAGGAGGCTAATCATTTTGGACAACATGAATGGATGGTTGGATAAACAGTGACATTTTTAAAGCTGGGGTACCTAACTTTCATACCACAAATTTGTTTTAAAAATTGTTCCTCGCTGTCAAAATACTTTATTGTTTTCACATGCATGTGTCTATAGGCTTTGTCACATCTTTAAAACTAAAATAAAAAGAAAAGTGAAAAAGAGTGGACCACCCTCGCTCAGCCGATCAGCTCTCAATCTCACTGTGTCAACACAATTTCAATATATAATTCCAATTTTATTTCCAATTCATTAGCTTGCTAGCAACATGGACAAATGTGATCAATCACTATAATCTGAATTCAATTTCTACGTCCACTTCCTGTTATTGTTCTCCATTCTTTGCTCTGTGATGGTCCAAAGCTTTCCAGTGTGGATAGGTTACATTACAGGGGAGGCAGCACCAGATGGTAATGGTGTTTATTTTTGCACTAACTAATCACAGGGCAGGAATGTATGACAGTAGACAGGCCCAGGGACTTGGACGCGGGCCCCGAGAGACCCGCGCACCACTTCCTGTACACCCTGATGATCACGCATACTATCACACACAAACATGGTCGCGCACTCCGGGCCGATGAAAGTTTATGCATCAATGAGCTGCTGGGGTTGGTACAATCTGGCACAGGGCGAGCTGGTGAGCGTTCTACTGCAGACAGACAGGCTGGAATAGAGATCGCACCATCCAAAGTTGGACTGTGGTGTCTTAATGTTTCTGGTATTGCAAATATTATGTGATGCATAAATTCATATATTGGCATGGCAACGTTTTTTTTTATACACAAGGCAATTCAAAAGTGCAAAGGAACCATTAGAGTTAAAAGGTAGGGTGTCTTTCATAAATAATACATTTTGGCTGATTGAGGGTGGTCCTCTGAAAAGCTGATCTAAAGATGTGACAGAGGCTAAGTTGGATGGATTACATTACATAGTGCATTTTTTTGTGGTTTGAAAATCAGGTAACCATGCTTTAAATCATAACCCTCAATGTAAAAAGTCAAGATAGAAAACTTAGAAGAGTTAACAAATCAATACATTTTCTCATATTCCCACGCAGTGACATGTGTTTGGTGCTCCCCGACCCTCCATGGCTATAGTGCAGGAGTGTCAGAGAAAACCAGGGGTGGAGGGAAGGTACCAGTGAGAGAGGATCCAGTTAATGGTCTTGCATCTTCCTGGCAGCATGTCAATAATGGCTCTGATCACATTAAGTAAAGAGTCCATTAGCTTATTCTCTTTCCTCCAGCACCATGCGCATGCACAGGAGGAGCTGAAAGGCGCTCCTAATGCAGTGTGTCTGCGTCTTACAGACACCTTTATCTGCTCCCTCTCGGTCCGAAAACAAAATGACTCCGGGAGGTTTGCCTTCGCTGCGATCCATTACCCATTCAAGTCTATTTCCCTTTAACACGGTGACAAAGTGCTGTGTGGATTCTTTTGATTGGCCGTGAATGTCTCGTTTTACACGTTATGGATGCTGGTCTTTATTCCTGTCAAAGCATAACATACAGAAGTTTGAAACTATTTGCTTTTAGAGCTTTTGCTGAGTGATATTGGATAACTGGGCTTTATTGACTCCCTCAAAACATATGATGAATTTAAAGCTGGGTTATCTAACTTTCAAACCTCTATGTATTAAAATCTGTTGTTCCTCACTCTCAAACTAGTTTTCACACGCATGTATATTTGGCCTCTGTCACATTTTAAGATCAAGCAAAAAACAACCTCACGCAATCATCTCAGCCTACTGAGCCAAATAGTGAATCATCGGCCTTTTTCTTACAAGTATGCAAGTTAACATGTTTTTTAACAAGATGTGGTGTGATTAGTTCACAACATTCTACTATGTCCTAGTTTTGAGAGTACACCAATATTTAAACAGTAATATTAGGGGTACGATCACAGCTCTGGTATGTGCTTTCTGTTGCTTGCATATCTCAATACGTAACTGGTAGTAGTTGAAAAAATGGTACCCACTCAAAAGTAAAAAATTTGCAATATGATTTTTATGACCATATGCCAAGCCACCCGTTCAGCACCAGGTTCCTGCCAAAACAGTAATGAAGACAAAGGAGACATGCGATGAGAAGGAAAAGGGGTCAGATCCCTTTTCGCCACACTTGCAACGCACACAGACACAAAGCCCATTCCTCCGCCGCCTCACTGCTCTGCATCAGCCCTGGAGGGAGCAGAGCGGCTACTACATCTGTCCACCATTCCCCTGCGTCACTGACCTGCCGTATCCACACCACGCACATCACACAAATCACCCTCAATTAATGTGAAACCTTCTTTTCTGAGGCGTCCCCCCTGGCTGCATACTAGCTCCGCTGAGTTTTTACACGTTGACCACGGTTTCATTAGCACAGCTGGCATAAGGCAATCCGGCGTTATTGTGTGCGCTTTGTGGGAGAAGACAGGGAATCGATATGTCAGGCAGCCACTGTTCATAAGCTAGTGCTGTGATGCATTTTGTTAAAAAAAGAAAGAAAGGGGAGCAGGGTGAATTCGCTCCACAGAGCAACAAGGCCTGAAATGGCTTCCATGTGCTGCCCCATCTGCACCTCTGCTGGGCGGTGGCCAACGCTCTGTCCTCTTCACTTTTAAAAGATGCAGAGGGACATATGTAAAATGAATAAAGAAGACTACGACGTTGGAGGGTCAGTGGGTTCAGATGAATAACGGGTGACTAGGCCTTTTCAAAAATTATAGGTTTTTGAAAGAGGTTCCTGTGAAATCGCAGAACACAGCTTGAATTATTACAATGCCGGGTATTTTGAAAATGGGATACCAACCTTTTACCAATCTCGGATGATAAATAATGAATGTACTTCTAAAATATATTACAATTTGCAGACAATTGTAATATTTGCAAGACAATTCCATTGAAACGCAACTTGCACTTTGACACATCAGCCACCTAATAATTGTCATTGTAGCATTAATATTCTCCAAGTTATAACAAAATACAATGTCTCATCTATTTACTAGCTATAGTTTACCCGACACGCAAGTTAGGTCACATCCAAAAGTAGTGTACTCGCTTGATGCACAGATCTTGAATGTAGAGTTTTCTCAAAGATCAGAGTGAAAATTTCAACCTCTGTGATTCTTACAAATGTCCTCCACCCACGTCTGGACAGGGGCTGCTGATTTCCCCGTGGTCCATCACAGGGGAAGCAGCAGTTCTGGTTGTTCACACATGACCTCTGCCCTGCCACTCCAAAGCCAATGGGGGTGCAGCTGGTGCCTTGGGAGCTCTTGCCCTCTGATGTGATGCTCCAGGCAATGGGCTTTGCCTCAACACCATCCCCCATGGCACCTCTCGCCACTAGATCGTCTGCATTATTCATGAGACCAGGCCAGGGTGCGATGGAAAACAGAATATGGAAAAGATAGTGCCAAAGGTTCAAGACCTTCTCAGATCATAAGGAACTTCTGCTTAACCTCCCTTGAAGTGGCAAACACAGGGATACAGGCTTTTTTGAGGAATGGGATCTGAAAGCAGGGCCAGAGATCAATGGGGAATCCTCTGAGGGTTGCTGGAGATCGCATTCATGGCAAGGTGATTGGCTAATCAATGTCATTCCCAGGGTTGGATCTGCCATTTTGAGTAGTTATCGTTCCTTCAGTAAATGATACCGTCTCGGCTGCTTATAGTATGCAAATGCGGCACTCTGGGGTCATCCCACACAGGCAGCGAATTGTAAGCGTTGTCATTCTGGACGCGTGCATGATGTAGTATGATGCGCTCTGTGACAAAGTCGAGATGAGGGTCCAAAGGCCAGGTCAGAGGTGGCAAACATTTGTCTTTTTGCAGCTTGGTGCATGGCGTGGCATATCACATTGCAGCTTTCCGAGTACATTTTCTGAATATGATAGGTGATGATTACTGAACACAACATTTGTACATGTTACACTGCTGATCCCCAGCACACACGGAGCGACCTCCTCAGCTACATCGGCAGGCTTTTAATAGGGCTTTACACATAACCTGCTAATTGCGTAATTACCTGATTTGTTTTAACTGACAGTGGCGCCCTGGCCTGTGACAAGGCCATCATTTGCTCATCCTCATTGTCAGCAATTTGCAACGTAGATGCGCGGCTCCTCGCCCACAGCAGCGTGGTATCAGAGACCCGATGAATTACAATTCCGCTGCGATGCCGCCGTGATGAATAAACACTGCCATCGCTATGAAGGCAGGCAGATAAAACAAACTAACAGCAGCAAGCCATCCTACAGATAAAGTGGGTACCCCTTTGTCTCTGCGCTGTAATTATTTGCTAATCGTCATTAACCTGGCAAAGTGAGGTTTCGCCGGATTGTTTAAAGGACTCTTGGATGCCTAATGACAGACTAATATGTCATAGCAATGGGGGAGAAGGGGGAGGGGTGGATTAATGAGATTTTATTGAAAGAAGCAAACAAGAAGAGGTGGGGCCGTGTGGAAAATGTATAAGCCAAAGAGGGCCACATTAAGCTAATTGGGGGATGAGTGCCTGCTTATAAAAATGCTCCTAATGGCATATGTGTGTCTCTCTCTCGATCCAGAGGAGTGGGAAAGATACAGTCACAACCATGTTGTCTTAAAATGTGTCCTTTCATTGCTTAATGAAGAAGGGCTAAAGCAATGAAATGATTAAACACAATTAAATAGTTATGAATTCATTCTAGTAATCGATTGTTTTTTGAACAGCACAGAAACTGTTTTAAAGGCAAGGCAAGGCAAGGCAAGTTTATTTGTATAGCACAATTCATACACAAGGCAACTCAAAGTGCTGAACAGAACAAGAAAGCATTAAAATCATAAATAATCACAGTACATTAAAAAAAAAAAAAAGATAAAAATATAAAATCCCTCAGTTGTATGCACAGCTAAACAGAACCGTCTTTAACCTGGTTTTAAACATTGTCAGAGAGGAGGCCTGTCTCACATCTTCAGGAAGACTAACATCCATTAGTTTAAATAACAACATTAAATACATCCAGAGAAGAATTAAATATGTTGACATGTAAAATAAAAATAAATTGTTATATATCGACTTTTTACGAGGGCTCTTCTATAGGAAAATGTTCCTCAGTTTTGTTTTGTTTTCAAAAAATTACAACATATGAAACAAGGAAATGTGTGTAAAAAAAAAAAATCAGACAAAGGTGCATAATTTTAGCTTTTTTTTTGTTTTGTTTTTTACGATTAATCATTGATTACAGCCCTTTATCATATTGTGAACTGGAAGAAAAAACAAACAATGTATGCAAACAATGCAGGAATAATTCTTCAGTATAAATTAAATTGACCAACTAAATAAGAGTCATCAGGAAGGGTTGAGTTCACAGCCTTTTTCACCTTTATTTGCAAGAATTTATTGACATGAGTTACTTCATTGGACATGGAATGAAAAAAGTCTTTCATAATCACTTTTAACTTGCTATGACATCTCCTTGAGGAAACTGATCAACAAGACATGCAATTGTTTTGACTGCTCTGCTCTTTTCCAGCTCAAACAATTTTCACTTTCTAATTTGCCTTTACTTTTTGTTTCAATTAAATAAAATTGAAGTGCTAATGCCCAGATGGCCCTGCAGTTTGAAATAATAGTGGTCAGGCTAGAATTGAAAGTCATACCTCCAGGCTAAACTCCACAGCGCACACAGAATGAAAGTGTAAAATGTTTTTTAATGTATATTTAACAACAAATACCCAAGTGACTATTGATGTTTGGTCTCAGAAGAGTCTATTTCTCCAGTATATCTGAAGGCATGATTTGAAACCACTCACTTTATTCCTCTTTTTCTTGAGCTCTTTCCCTTCCTCTCTCTCTCACTCTCTCTCTTTCTCTCTCTTTAAACATTTATCCTGTGTTTTCTCCTTACAGGCCCTTTGTGCTTTGTGATGTTGGTTTTACTGCTTTTTTCTCACTAGAGCTGCCATTTATCTTTTATACATGCCGGCAGCGAGAAACATTTCTCATGTTAACAATTTCATTCCCACTAATTGTCACAGCTTGTTTTGTATGCTGTTGTCACTTGTTCCTTGTGTGCATCTTCTATATCACTCCTGACTAAAATCACGTATCTTCTTCCACAGTTATTTTAAATGTAACATTCTCTTTTATTTTTTTCCCGATCACAAGGATATTGATTTTTTCCCATGATGCTGTCCCACTCACCCTGGGGTGTTTGAGTGCCCATAGACAAACAAGAAAATGAATGCAGAGGTGTCATTAGTGGTTGTCATGAATGATTCTACGATGTCTTTTGGCCATTCTGCATCTGCTCGCACATTTTGTAAACATCCTCAGGTTCGCTTCCTGATCACAGGGAGTCCCAAGAAAAGTTCACAGAAATGTAAAATCCCAGATCCATATTTCAGGTTCAAGTACACCTGACGTGAAGCTGCATCTCATTTCCCAATCACTGTATTAGATTATCCACTAAGTCTTTATTTAATGAATAAACAGGAAGTGTTGTTGGACAAGAGGGACTCAGCACTGTCAGGCTTTGGACAAACCTCTGTGAGCTGCCTGTCGCTCCAGGGGCCTCTGAATTTCATAAGCTGAAAAGCTTGCCCTTACAAACTAACCCCTGCTCTATGTTCTCTTTTGACCATACTGATTATGCACAATCAATAATGTTTGGTATTTTTGTCTTCTTTTTTCTTCTGGGGTCTGCAGGATGCTGCAGGCAAGGTCCTGGACCGCTGGACCATCATGTCTCGGGAAGAGGAGATCATCACCCTGCAGCAGTTCCTCCGCTTTGGTGAAACCAAGTCCATTGTTGAACTGATGGCCATCCAGGAGAAGGAAGGTCAGGCAGTCACTGTTCCCTCCTCCAAGACTGACTCCGGGATTAGGACATTTATTGAGAGCAACAACAGAACCCGCAGCCCCGGGCTGATAACACATATGGAAAGCAGTAGTCCATCGAGCATCCATCATTTTGAAAACATCCCCAATAGCCTTGCCTTCCTTCTGCCCTTTCAGTACATCAACCCAGTGTCTGCACCCATGCTTGGCTTACCCCCTAACGGCCTGCCCATGGAGCAGTCTGCTCTGCGTCTGCGAGAGCCCTCCCTCCCAAACCAGGGAGAGCAGGTGGAGACTAGTGAATCCGAAGTGTCCTTGTCTCCATTCCGCTCAGGCCAGAGTCCAAGCCGAGGAGGCCTTGGATCATTAAATCACATAGAACCCAAGACAGAGCCCAGTAACAGAGCTTCACCTATCTCCCCCACCCCCTCCCAGCAGTCACAGCTCCGGTCACAATCCACACCACAGCCACAATCAGGACTACCACAGTCCCAGAGTCAGACACAGCAGCCCAGCACTATGACCGACTCACAAGTCCATCATCACTTTGCCAAGGAAGAGCAGAAACAAAGTATAACACATGCTTCCTTCTCCTCCAAAATGCACCGAATGCGGCGAATGGGGTCCACCTCACGGAAGGGGCGTGTTTGTTGCAACTCTTGTGGCAAAACCTTTTATGATAAAGGCACTCTCAAAATACACTACAATGCTGTACACTTGAAGATTAAGCACCGTTGTACCATCGAGGGCTGCAACATGGTATTTAGCTCACTCCGCAGTCGCAATCGTCACAGTGCCAATCCTAATCCACGGTTACACATGCCAATGTTACGCAACAACCGTGATAAAGATCTTATTCGTGCCACTGGCAACTCTGGTACACCAGTCATCTCAAGCACCAAAAATGGAGCCTTTACACTAACCAGCCCAGGAAGACCCCCACTGGGCTTCACCACACCTCCAGTGGATCCCATGTCTCCACTCCAAAGTCCCCTTATGTTTCCCTCGCTGAAGTCAGTCCAGCCAGTCCAGCCTGTGCCCCCATTCTACCGCACACTACTGTCTCCTGCAGATCTGGTGAGTCCTCCAGTGTCCCTACCCACCAGCCCCATCCTGCCCACTACCACTAACAGCACCTCTCTGATGGACCAGCAGCAGCAGCTCCTTGCAGCAGCAGCTGCACACAACAGTGTCCACGTATCAGAGGCAGGCCCCATGTCTCACCGCTTATCCACTCCCAGTGCCAACCATGAGGGTACTATGGGCAACAGTGACCCCACACCCAAAAAGAAGCCCCGCAAGTCCAGTATGCCAGTGAAAATTGAAAAGGAAGTCATTGATGTGGCAGATGACTATGAGGACAAAGATGAGGATGATGATCATATCCATAACCACCATCACCACCAGTCCTCTCTCCTGCACAACAGCCTGAAGATGAATGGAAACTGTAACAACGGCAGCAGCACAGGGAACCACAGTGGAGGCAGTGGGCAGCAGTCTCCCTCTCAGGATGAAATGAGTCCAGGACTGGCTCTTAGGGGAATGATGAGGAGTGAGGATGACTGCCGAGACGGAGCAGGCAGTGACAGTAGAGGAGATCTCAGGAGCACAGGAGACATGCGCTGTATGGACAGTTTCACATCAGAGGACCAGGACCATGAGAGAGACTTTGAAAATGAATCTGAAAACTCAGACTCTAAAATGTTCTATCGGGATGAAATGATGGATGTAGAAGATCAGCACAAACACCACAGACTGGGCAGGGGTCTAGAGAAAGACATGGTCGATGAGGTTGGAGAAGAAAGACACTTAAAACAAAATGAAGGCAAGAGCCATTCATCCCCATCCCCACATCAGCCTGCCATGAAGATAAAGGAAGAGCTTAGCGACCCTACTTATGACATGTTCTGCATGGGACAGTACGGCCTTTACAATGGAGGCATGGCAGCAGCAGCGGCAGCGGCAGCCAGTATGGCTGCTCTTCACGAGAGCTTCATCTCCTCTATGGGCTATGGGGCCAGCCCACCCAAGTTCCCAACTTCTCAGTCACCCGATGGAGACCCATGCTCAAGCCCCGACCCCAAGATCTGTTATGTATGTAAGAAAAGCTTCAAGAGCTCATATAGCATGAAGCTGCACTACAAGAATGTGCATCTCAAAGAGATGCATGTCTGCACTGTGGCTGGCTGCAATGCTGCTTTCCCCTCTCGACGGAGCCGAGACAGGTCAGTCTTACACCTCTTCAATCTAACATGTAATACGTGTCTTTTCCAGGATACATTTTATTTTGAAGCATATTTAGGATGGAAACATAAATATATATTTTCTTTTTAAGCAAGAAAAAATAGAGTATCACTACACTTAGGCTGTACTTCTAAGACAGGATTAGGGACATCTGCTGCATCAAGCCAAAGTTGAAGAGTAGGTGTGAGGGGAGAACATCTCATACTTGCACCCTCCATCTGCACAGGGCTGTGTACCTGCCCTCCCTGCATCACCCTGTCACTGTCAGGTGAAGCCGCATACATTAGCAGAGGTTTGTCAAACCGCTGCATGTATTAGCGCATCAGGAGGTGAGGCCAGCAGTGAGCACCTGGGCTTGTTAGCACATATCAGTCCCACTCTGTACAGTTTACTGGAACATATTGCACAGCCACTTAACACATCTGATGCCTTGGGTTCAAAGAAGTTCAGTATCCCAAAGACAGTAGAAACAATAAATGTACCATAAAAAGCACCAAACCAGCATTTTCTGTTAGATTTGTTTTTTAATGCATGTGGTATTCAGTTAGGGTTCTTTGTTTTTTTAAATTGTTCTTTAAATTAGGAAATGATATACGTTTGAAAGATATATGGCAATACTTGGATGCAATTCATACAGGGCAGTTATTTTAGTACGGCCTTGGGCAAAGTGAGTGATCTTTACTGCAGAGAAGTAAACGTGCATAGACAGATGACTTGTAGCTAAAAGGCCTGCACTAGGAATCACACACTTATTAGCCTCGTTAATCACATTTTAAGAAGGGGACAGCATTTCCTTATTTATCTCATCTATATAGCAGTTCATTCGTTAACCTAGCTTTAACCTGCTCCCTGTATGTCACCGCGGCAGCCCTAGCTCCTCTCTCACTCCCCCGGCGGTCTCGGCAGTCCCGGCCCGGGCCATTCCAAATGCACACACTGAAGGTTAATTATGTCAGTGAGTCTTTGGGCTCCTCTGTGCGGCTCCCGGGGTCCCTGCGCGCTATGGGGGCCCCTGCACATTCAGCTGCCTACGTCTCCTAAACAAAGGGCACTGCGTTCAGAGAGAGAGTGTGCAAGCAGAAGACACATGCTGTTTCAAAAGAAAAGCACTATCAGATCTGTGTGTATTCACACAGATCTATTGATACAGTGAGAACACTGAAATACAGTCAGTTTTTGTGCAAGTGAGAGTAGATGTGTGATTTATGTGTATTTCCATATTCAATGTTGCTGCTAAAAGTAAAAAAACACAAATATTGTCCCATATTATAAAGACGGAAAGTACATCTAGGAAGGCGTAGTTTAGACGTCATAGGGGTACTTTATCAAGGTGTGTGCAAAAGTTGGAGCAAACTGACTTATGAGGTGCATAGAACTAAAAATTACACCAACTAGGTTACTTTACAGCTTTGCATTTGGTTTGATAACTTATTGAAAAATCTTTTAAAAGACATTTATCAGCACATCTCTGCGGTTAATCTATGTCAGATAAATTAGTCAAAAATACTTTTGTATGGCATCACAAGGATTATATAAATTTAGATTACAGCTTATTATAAAGAATAATTAGTAGTAGTAGTGTATCTAGTCCAGTGGTCTCCAACCTTTTTCCCTGGAGAGCTGGTTTTCAAGACAAAAATGGCAAAGAGCGACTCCTTTAAGCCGTCCTGGGAAAAATGTGTTTATATATTTGTGAGAGCGAGCTTCAGAATGGGTACTCTTATCACCAGTCAATTATGTGTTACTAGTGCACAAAGTGAGTTTGCATTTACAATAGTTGTGAGCAAGTGATTAACACATTCTGAAATATTCAGTACATTATTAAACTTGTTACTTTCTAAATCCATTGGTGAGCTACCTGCGAGGGGGTGGTGAGCTACTGGTAGCACCTGAGCTATAGGTTGGAGACCCCTGATCTAGTCTATTCTTTAGTGTCAAACAGCCAACAGCCATGCACATGTCTCATACAAATTTCAATTACTTTTATATCACTGAACCCATTAGTTTGCCTTTACATACCACACAAAACTCATCACGGTGTCGGATGGTAGACTAACATCATTGAACCCAGAATCTGCGGTGACAGAGTTTGATGGATGTTCCTTGTGCTTGTGTCCTCCTACTTAAACCCAAAAGCTCCTAATGCAACCAAATGACAGGAAAGACAAAGAACCGTGGTGCCACGTAAACACCACTCAGTCCTGCATCTCATTTACACATTATCAGCATCATTTAGACGCAAACAGACTCACAAAGCGGGCAAGGGCCATCACACACACATAAAGATGATTTACTCCAGTCGGGACTGCAGCCTCCTCTGCACAGTCAAAAAACGGGTCCCTGCGAGACTCTTTCCACCCCCACCTTTTTGGGGTGAAGATGAGACTGTCAAATTGCTTTGCCAGGAACATTACTAGCCAACAGGGAGGAGTAGCGGCACACAAACTGGGGCAAATCAGGTCTGTGGAGGAAAGAGAAGAAGGAAAAGCCACTATAGACTGTACCTGACATGTTGGAAGTGTATTACAAGTGACGTATTATTAAAAAAGGAGATAGACACGGTTAACTTAGAGCTTATTAGCAGTGTGAAGGTGTTGTTTTATGAAGACATGTTGCAAAGGACCTGCCTACCTGAGCATCTTCAACAGCATTCGCCCATTGAGCAAAAGTGTGGCCCATGAAGCGCAGTACAATACGCAAGCACAAGTCGGAGAGAGATCCTGTTTAAGCCATAACTTAACACTATATGGACACAACTGAACTATCAAAGGATAAAAAGGGGGATTTACGATGTCTTTTTGATCAAGGCTCCACTATAAAAGTAGTATATTTTCTCTTTTACACTCCAGCACTCACACACGGGCAGTGACAGCCACGGCCAATCGATTTGCCACGCTCGCTTCTCAATGCTGACGATGCTCTCGTGGACGGGCTCCTGGTTGCCTGCTTCACAGAAAAGGGTCCCTGATATAAATGTATTTTTACCTCTTGCAGGACATTGTCGGATAGGGAAGTAAATAATTAAAGGAAAGGGACCCTTTTTGACTGCATCAACCCTGCCACTGCTGGTAAGCTCTACTATCCATTGTGCCTCATGTTTGCCCATCCTCCTCAGGATGACCCCTTTCTGTTCTGTTGTTGAGTTTTGGTTTTGCTTGAACACATGTGCCCCGCTTGCATGGAAACCCCTCACATTAAAAGGAGTGTTTGCATAGTTTTGCATTTTGACAAAATTGAGTGGGCCGTGTGTATTCACTGGTTATGAGTTTCTTAAGTTTATTTTATGTGTGCTGTATCATTATTGTGGCAAAGAGTGCCAGTACAGTTAGATTAGGGCTATAACAAGTTCACCACAGCTGATAGATCATTTAAACTTTAAACACATTTTACGTCGGTCTTAGAGTTAGATAAAATATGTCTTTTTTTATTTTGTTTTGTTTATGGTGCCATCTGGTATTATACATAACTGTTAGAGGTTTTACTAATAATTTCTAGACACAGACGTACAGTGGAGCAAATGAACCCCGCCCCAACTGACGTAGCTGTGTTGTACTACAAAATCCAGTACAATACCACGTACAGGGAAAATGCCCATTCTGATTACGCACAGAGCCACACATAAAGACAAGTTCATTGAGGTGGCGGATTAAGCAGCCTCCAGCAGGGAACCAATACGATAATGCTGTCAGGGCCTGCTGCTAATATGCTATCCAGTTCCCCTCGATTATCACATTAGCACAAGTCCAATCAATTGATAAACTCCCATTCAATATGCCAGAGTATTTAATTGAGTCAGACTCTATTGGATTTGAGGCCTGTGCAGGGCAGACATGCTGACAGCAGTAAACAGGGGCCAGTGCTCGGTGCCTGCACTTACAATGTGGGTACAAGACTGCTGTGGAGCATAGAATGACTTGGTATAAACATGTCTTCTAAAATCATAATAATAATGCATCAGTTTTATATGGAACTTTTTGGACACGCAAAGTCGTATTAATTGTGGGTCTTGTATCAACACTGTATACACGCATCATTGATTAAATATTATTATTATTAAAAATGGATATAAAATACTACAGGTGAAATTTTGAATATCACTCAAATGTTCATTTACTTCTGTACTGCAACTTAAAATGTGAAAACAATGTATGATATAGACTCATCACATGCAAAGTGACATCTGCCAAGCCTTTGTTTGTTATAATGTTTCAAAATACTAAATACCCATTTTGATACATTTTGTGATCTGATTAATTTGTGGGTTACAAATTCAGTGGAGTAATTCGTTATACACATAAACATATAGATTATTCCATGAAAGAAGCAGATGGTACTTTTTCTGGTGGGTGCATGGGTAGATGGTCGTGGTGCTCATGCTTTGTCTGAAATGTCCCATGGCATGGCATTAAACATCTATGTTGCATTCATTTACCTTTAAGGTGTTTTTGTTGTTTTGTTTGTCTCCATGGAGATTGGTACATTTAAAGCAATACTATGAAATACTCTAGCTAGAGTCTCTCCATGGAGACATTTGGAGAAGTTCCACACACTGGTAAAGTTGTATCAGTATTAACAATTGTGGGTCTCATATCAAAATTGTCAACAAAAATAAGTTGACCTCACTGTCTGAAGCTTCATCCTTGGCCAATCATACTTTTTAGAGTGGGAAAAAATATCTACCGAAAGAAAATTGGATGAAAACTATTTTATTTCTATAATTCAACTCAAATAGTGACACCAATATATTATATTGATTAATTACATGCAAAGTGACATTTATTTTGTTAGTTATGATTGTTATGATTATGGCTTACAATTTTAAAAAGTTCTATTTTAGGGATTTTACAAGTTGAGAGCCATAATTTTCACACATTTTAACAAAACAACTGTTATTTGTCACTTTGCATTTAACTGGTCTGTCAAATATGAGTTTCAGATTGTAAGTTGAATTACAAAAGTACTTTTTAACGGACTTTTAAACGATTTTATAATTTTCCTCACTTCACTTCAGTCTGCAATCTCAGTAAAATGTATTCCTAAACATAAAGATATCTAATAGTGATGTTTCATCCTTTCCACAGGCACAGCTCCAACATCAACCTGCACCGCAAACTGCTGACCAAAGAGCTGGACGACATAGTCCTGGACCCCCACCTCACGCCTCTGCCCAAAGACCTGCGAGTCGGGTTTTTGGCCAAGCTCTACGCCGGCCACCACCACCACCACATGGGCCTGGACCCGATGCTGGGGATGGCTGTCGGGGGCCCCCATTCCCCCATGAACAATATCTACCCCCACTTCCCCAGTAGTCTCCATCCTCCCCATTACAACCACCACCTCAACCACCTCAACGGCTTCTCTAGAGCTCCGCCGGAGGACTACGCGGTTCTGGACCTGAGCACCGCGTCCAGCCTCCACTCGGGCAGCAGTGTCCACTCGTCCCCCGGGTCGGACGAGGGCAGCGACGAGGGCATCTTGTTGGACGACCTGTACGACGAGGAAGAGGAGGAGGAGGAGGTGAACAGCGAGGGGGAGAGCGTGGAGAGAAGGCGTGCGCAAAGTGACAGCGGCGAGACCGGGGCGGAGTTTGCGTGCCATCCGGTCGCGGGGGGAAGCGGCGGCGGCGTCCTTTGCAATATCTGCCACAAGATGTACAGCAACAAGGGGACTTTGCGTGTGCACTACAAGACTGTCCATCTGCGGGAGATGCACAAATGCAAAGTCCCTGGCTGTAATATGGTTTTCAGTTCCGTGCGTAGCCGCAACAGACACTCGCAGAACCCCAATCTCCACAAAAACGCACCATTCTCCTCCATCGTGGACTGAAATATCTCCTCGTCCTTCCTCTTCCTCAATTTCGATCACTCCAACGTTGCCACAAACTTTAAAACTGGACACCCAAAGTCTGACTGTCTAGCGAAGATTTCTAACATGTCTGTATGTACAAATCACTGACATTCAATGCGGTTTATCAATGTGACGATGACACTATTGAAGTTGGGAGTTCCACAAATGGACGGAAGTTTTGGGGTTTTCTTTTTTCGGGAATATATATTTTCTTTCGAGATTGTTGGTTTATTTTCCGTCTGTCAAAGAATCTACTCTTATTTGTGACTTTGCCTGCCGAAAAGATCGTACTGAAAAAAGAAAAAAACTTTCTTGTTGTATTTGTGTAAGAACTTTTAAACGAATCCCTTACAAAAAAGCATGACAGTTCATTTGTAAATATTGTCGCGAAATGAGGCTTTTGGTGTTCGAGAGTTGTGTTTTGATGGTCGTTCGTTTCGGTTTCTTCTCCTACCTTTATGTTACAGTCAAGTACAATACTTCCAGATATAGGCAAGAAAGAGGTAGCAACTTACTAGCTTTGCGTTCATTTATTTTAGCTTCATGACACTTAGGATAAAAAAGAAACCATGTGAATTTTTTTATCTACTTTTTAGATCGTCAGAGGTTGCCGGCATGCTTTTCGAGGCTCCTATGCTGATATCATTCTCTGTATAACAAATTGTTTTCTTTTGTCAATTTATTTTAACAAGCTTTTGTATGTTTTTTTGCACTTTGCATCTACAAGGGGATGTGTAATAATATTAAAATGAGGACTTTTGCAATGGTGACTTTAAGTGTTATGTGGGCTCACTGATGGCTCCTGTCCCAAGACACAAAAACCAATAATATACCCCAAACATTTGCCCAAAAAGTCCATCAATGGTATTTTGGCAGAACTTCTTCTACTGCCCCACAATTTCAAAAGCATAAAGTCATCAATGCCCCACATATTTATACAGAGTGTTTATACAAATAATTGTGACCAAATGTGAGTGAACTTCAATTAGGCCCCATTGCACTTAAGTCTTAAAAAGTATTGCTGTGATATTTAAATCTAAAAGTGTTGGCTACTAATGTAAACTTAATGATCGTCGTACGGTACACATATTTGCCAAAATGGAGCAAAAGTAGCCAAGGGAAAGGGTATTTATTGATAGGTAGCGTAACTAAATGGAGATGTCTCGTCCAGGATGGTTTATTTTGAAAAAAAGACAAAAAAAATTATACATCTCGGTTTCTATTATTAAATATTAGTAATGTGTTACTATACAACTCGACTGGTGCTACGCAAGAAGGCCGTTTTAAGCCTGTACAGTATTCTCACATCCATGTAAGTGTTCCATTAGGCATTTCACAATATAGACACGACCTATTCTGCCGAAATACTTCATGTCTTTTTTAAGCCTCCCCCGTATGACACATGCAGTTGGTTCGTCTCTCGTTTCAGATAAAGCGCAGCAGGCAGGGCAGGCAGCGCAGTGAGCCTGATGGAAGGGGCTGCGGAGGTGGATGGGCTGACTAGGGAGGAAAGGATGACAGCAACAATCATTAAAAAATGTGCTGCTTCTCCGTTACCTGGAGGCGTCGCTGCCATCCGGGCGTCTTCTGTCTAATAACTCACTTGTCACTTGGCTACACCGCGAGACGCCAAGGTTGCTGACAGCACGGTGACACTGACAGGCAAAGAGGGGAGCGCGTAGAGAGAGAGAGAGGGAGGGAGAAAGAGGGGAGCATGCGCTCTTCAACAATTCAATTTGACTTGTTCGATTCCGCTACTCGCAACCAGCGTTCACGCACCTATTCAGGGTCACTGGTAATTTACTGGCATTTCTCTGGCTCTTTCTATTTCTCTCTTTGTCTGTCAGTGCACGGCCATTTAACAGCTCGCCTTGCCCATTTCTCCTAGCCGCCACTCACTCACTCACCACCTCCACACCCCACCGTGCAGGTTCTACTGGGACACAGGCTAATAGTGTATGCTTAAGTTCACCGGACGGCCACGGCATAGGGAAAAAGGGATGGGTAATTGCCTGTTTATCCCAAGTGAAGAGAAAATTGAGTACAGGAACCCTCGCCTGTTCCCAGGAGTAGCTTCAGTGAGGCGCGCACTGTCTCGTTCACTCATTCAATTCCCTGCGGCCCTCGCTCGGGTGGAAGGAAAGAAGTGCTTCTCTGGGAACCCCCGCTGACAGCTGTCTTTCCAACACACAATGGCACAAATACGCAACAACACCCACACACATGCATGAACTCAATGGTGCTGGCTGATGTGGGCAGGGCACGCGGTGACAGGGAGAAGATGACTTATTAACCTCTCGTGATGGAGGATGGAAAAATATCAGAGAGGAAAAGGAAACTACTCTATGTTCACTTATACTGTGTTGTAAAACATGGCATCCTGGAGAGAAGCAAGTGGTCAACCAAGTTTATCCATTATTCATCCAAAATTAAGACCTAAAAAAAATGCTTTGCTAAATGAAAAGGGATGACATAGTATATCTCAAGCCACAGCGACTGGGTGGATATACAGTATACAGTAATTAGAGTATAAGACTGAGACACAGGTCCAGGGTGACTTTGCTATTTGGACCCACAGCACCAGAGCCTATAGAGAGAAATCAGATGTTCCAGGTTTGACAAATACACCATCTTCCCCCATCTACCTCCACAGAGAAATGTTCCACGCTTCAAGCTTAGACCCCTGAAGAACGGGCCCAGGAGCTGCCCAGTGACAAGCCAATAGGTCGACCACAACACGCCTGAGTGAGTTTTTAATAATTGATCACAGAGAACAAGGATTCTGCAGAGGGACAAAGGAAAACGCGGTCACACGTTATCTGAGACGCTGCATGTGAAAGGAGGAGGTGCTAAAAAGTATTCAAAGACATGAGAAGGAGGATTTTAGTGACATGTTTAAATGTCCCCCAAAATATTTAACTAACAGAATATGCTTTCAGTTCCATTTCAAGTCTTGAGTGAAAGCCTAATGTTCAGGTGAATAATTTTTGTTTTGAATGTGTGTTTGTGTCTGTAGTACATGTGTGTGTCTCCACTGGCTTCATTATGGCCCCAGCCCGTCACAGCCCTGCATGGCTGCAGTTACACCAGACACTCCAGTGAGGATATGGTGATGTGGACGCCTCATGAATACTGTATTTGAGCTAAACAGCTGTTTCCCATTTGCAGACAGGTGAACCGCTCCTCTTCTCAAAGACTTCTTCTTCTTTCTTTCCTTTCCACGCTCTTGTGTTTGTTTCTGTATCATAACGGTCTATGGTTTTTGCATAAAATGCATAAGGGTTTTGGGATGTAAATGGAATTTTATTCATATTTTGTCCAGATACCTCTTGTAATTTGTATCAGAATTCTTGTACAATTTTTTATATTAAAGATTTATCAGTCACTGGCATTTTGTTCACTTTGTTTCTGTATCTTTCTTGTTAATACACACAGTATCTACAGTATATTGTACAATATAGTCTTTGTCACTTTATACTAACAAGCTTTCGGTATTTTTTATGTATTTATTTGTTTCATTTTGAATCTACAAAGGTATGTCTAAGCCTAACCCTAACACTATTAAAATTAGAACTTAAGTATTATGTAGACTCACTCATGGCTCAAGTGCCAATAATTTACCACCAAACATTGAAATATAAGTCTTGTTCAGATATGGCATAAAGATACAGACAGACTAATGTCAATCAAGCTCCAGAAACAAGGCACAGAGCTTTCAGCAGGTTTTACTGCTTATTTAATTGCCTTTGATAGAAATCTTGGGGGATAAAGCTATCTTGACCAATTAGTGGACGATTAGATTAATAGAGTCATTAAAAGATGTACAGGAGCGAGAGGACAGCGCTGCTGCTGTTAGCAAATTAGAGAGAAGGCCAAACAAAGGGTGCCTCACTCCAGCCTATGGACAATCACATCTCAAATTAAATTAGCTTCAGTCACTCACACAAGTATGAACAAATCTACAATGGGAGCTACAAAGAAAACGTAAAACATGCCTCACAAAAATTAGAAATTTGTGGTAATGCCTTTTTCAACCAGGAATTGGAAATGGCATTCCAATAATAATTCAACACAGTCAACACTACAGATATGTATGCTTTATTTTGAATAGCTAAATAAAATATCATGATGTGACCTAATATTTCTCATAATGGATACTTCATTGACACAGTGCTTTTTTGGCACTGTGCTGGGAAACAGCCCTTAAAAACACAAACAATGAAAGGTTTACATTAGGCATCAGAAAAACAACAACAACTACATTCTGCAGTTCCATCAAAGGGAAGCGTGTTTTGTTAGGGCTGTAATAATGATTACTTTGATAATCGATTAGTTTCCTGATTATTCTTTCAATGCATTTAGAGCACAAAAGCTCAGTGAATATGGGATTTTTCATACATTTGACATTTTGACCAAAACAAAGCTTATGTGATGCCCTTGGAGAACCGCTTCATTGAAATGACTTGTTAAACATTGGGTTGTTTAATAAAAAAAAAAAAAAAGTACACACCATGATTATAGAACTATCTGAGCCATGAAATCTCCTCTTTCCATGTTTATGGAAGGTTCAAAAAACAATTAATCAATTGCTAGATTATTAGGAAATGTATTATTTTAATAATCATTAGTAATAATTAGTTGTGATAGAATAACTTTTTATAGCCCGAGTGTTTTGGAAAAGCTTAAGTGCTGATAGGTGTTCTCATATGCAGTCGCCTTGACATGCCTTGTTAAGTGCGTCTGTCTTTCTGATGTCGCAAAGCAGATAAAAAAGCTGTTTCGTTGAAGAAGTTTTGCTCAAAACACAGAAAGAATCAACACACTGCAAAAAAATGATAAAATATGAGGTTATAAATGTTTTAATCTAGTGGTTTTTATCTTAATTTGAGTACATCCTGACTGTCTTAAAATAATATTTGCAAATGTGACAAAGCCATTTCTCTTATTTCAAGAACTTTTGCTTTATTTTCTTTTTCCAAGGTAGACATTTCTTGTATCTTTTTAAAACAAGATACTTTTGCTTGTCCCATTGGCAAATCTTGTTTTAAGACAGTCAAAATGTGCTCAATTCAAGATAAATTTTGCCAAATTTGAGCAATTTTGCCAACATCTTATTTTCATCACTTTTTGCAGTGTAGAATTATTGGTAACAATAACATAAATTAACAAAGTGTTGTTCAGATGTCCAGGCGCTTAGAGCCACACAGACAAACACGAGGTCATTTACACAAAGTGACCCTCGCTGACATCATTTGCTGCTTGAATTACAAATTGATATGAGCTCCAGCAGCGATGTCATGTTTGCTCTGGTAACCAACAGGAACATCACGTACCCCCCCATCACCACCACTGCTCCAAACTCACGACTGACACGGCCCGGAGCTGACCTTGAATTAGAAACCACTGCTCTTAGTCACGAGCACACACCCAGTGTTGATCCCGTGTCACAAAATTGCACCGTCTTGAGAATAATGGAGCAGGATGGTATTGATTGGGAGCAGGTTTGTAAAAGATACTCCCCTATGCCGCTAAGATACCCGGCCATCTTCTGCCCGACACGCACGCCTCGGTGACAAGCTCCCACTGGGAAGCATGACGTTGACCTCCGCTACACGAGCGAGCATGTTTCTGATGCCGGGAGCCATCGATTGGCCCTCCGCTGACCTTTGAGAGGCAGCGATCAGGGCTGTGTGTCCAATCACACCAAGGCAGCGGTGCGGGAGGGATCGAAGGAGGGCGGGAGGGAGTAGGCACTGTGGTAGGGTGAGTAGGCTTGGCTGTAGTGAGGGGTAGTAGAGTATAGGGGTGCAGAGGTTGACGGAGCAAAGACCCATCAGTTGTCAGACTGCCCATCCGCCCATCTGACGCATTAAAGTGCAGAGATACAGACATGAACAATATGTTTATGATATTGCAATTAGGTTTTCAGACACTTGAAGAAATAAAAATGACAATAAGACCATTTACTTTGGACGGTTATGTAAATGGGAAACTTTTTCTTAAAGAGACAATATACAATATTAAATCTACATATTTTATGTGTCCCCAGATAACAGGTCAACATGTACAAATCATATTTGACCTTTTCTGAACTAAAGTGGAAATATTCTTGATTAAAAATACAATGGACATGATATCTAAAGAGGACGGAAGCAAGTCGCCGAACACACTGGCGCATCAGCCCCCAATCAACACCATCAATTCACTCTCTCATCTACATTCAGACCTATTGTGCATGGTTTTAGTGGTAGGGGAAACCGGAGCACCTGAAGGAAACCTACGCAGACACGGGGAGAACCTGCAAACTCCACTCAGAAAGGCCCTGTTCCGACCGGGATTTGAACCCAGGACCTTCTTGCTGAGAAGCGAGAGTGCTATCCACTCAGCCACCGTGCCGCCCATCTATAAAATGTATGATTACGGATTTCAAGCAGATTGCCAATCAGAGAGCAGGTCAAATATCTAGCTGCATGTTTTTGGCTCTTATTTATGAACAAAATTCACAAACAAAGAAATAGTTCCACACATATGTTTGAATGATTCAGGTGCAAATATAAGTAGTCATACGGTACACTGAGTTTGTAATGTTTCTAGCTAAACTCCAAAGTAATTATAATGACTACCAGGTTAAATGTGTATATTTCATGCAGTAAGTAGAAATATACGGCCAAACATATATAAATGATAAAGAAAGATCTCAGCATGTAATTCCCCACTTCTACAACACAATGGAGAGGTTGAATTTATTTGTTTGTTTCAATATCAAATATAATGTATGGCAAAAAAATGGCTGTAAAGACATAATTTCAGAGACTATAAAGAAAGCAACCCTTTTGGATCATCATAGTGCACCAGTGTTGAGACAGCAGCATTTAGAAGGGGTGGGGCAATGCCTTTGTAGCATGGATGGACCTAAAAACAACAGGTCTGTGAATGTTGAAGCATGGATAAAAGCTCAAGAAATGCTACTGATACTGGCCATCTGACATATTTCACAATAAGATATTAATGACATCTACATTATCTACCATCATACTAAATAGAATTTGACAGACATGAATTTTAAACTCTCAAATTTGAACTTGATTTAATTTGGCTTTGTGGAATCATCAGCTTTTTACGTTCATAACTCGGTGCAGACGATATCAATTCAATGGCGCTTGTTGTTCGTACAGAAAGGAGCTGATTCAAATCGTCACGTGGCGCAATTTGCGACATCAAAAGCCTGCCTCCATGTTCAGCCCATGCAGCCTCTCTCCGAGTCCAGCGTGTGGTCCATAGACAGTAAATAAGCGTCTGTGCATTTTGTGTTAGCTTCATGTCAACTCTGAGAAAATTTGTTGTTGGTGTAAATATGTGACGAGAGTATTTGGCCCGAAGAGGGAGAATGAGGATCGACTTTGTTCACGGGGATCTTCCTCGTATCCGCGAGTCTGAAATCTGCTACGAAACTCGCAGATGTTTTTTGCGAGTGACGGTGACACCACTAAAGACTGCAGTTACCTTGAAACGGAACCTACTTCAAAGCTGATCTGGAAACCTGATGGTATTTCCAAAATAAAAGACGCTCAGGACAATGCAACTAATTCGCCGTATGTAACTGTGTACTAAATAATTTGGGTCTGATTCTGGATCGAGGACATAGGGCTCTATGTGGCGGGTTGCCATTGTTGGAAAAAATTTATTCTCAGGTGTGAAATTACTACTGTATGTAGCAGCGAAAATTGTACAGTTAGCTCTTGTTTACCTCAGAACTTAGCAAGAAGCTACGTCACCGTGTGGGCGGGGGGAGCATAGAGGAACGCGTTTCACATTAGTTTAGTTTAGTCTTTATTTGAAGGGACAATGTACGGAGACATTAAGCTCAAAGACAGATATGTTCTGCACCAGATTATAGCTAAACAGCTAGTTTCCATCTGCAGTCCCCGGTTAAATGAGGTGACATCACCACTATGCACGAAATGGCTATAATTTTGAGTGTTGTGTGGTAAACCACCCAAATTATTATCCCACATGTGCATAGGATGGAATGTGAAAAATGAAAAAAAGCGAAATATGGCACCTTTAAGTTCTCATTTAAAATCCGTTTATATAAACAAAACGTGTTAACGGAGTTTAAAAGCACAATGGAAACTTGACGTTTGCAGGAAACTTAAGTTAAGACATTACAATCTATTTAAACAGGAGTTTTACCAAGCCCCAGTGATGCAAGATGGCCCTATTCAAATTAATGGCTTGTGCTCAGCTTTGACCAATCAGAGCTGCTGATCAGAGCAGCAGCAGAGCAGAGTCAGAGCGGGAAGGAAAGGAGCACAGTTTGCGGCAGTAAAGTGTGGATTTAAAGAAAACCGAAGGATTTAAGAAGAAAAAAAGTTCAGGATGACAAGGGACACTAAAATCCCCACAAAATACGACCTTTTTGAAAGCTGTGGGTTCTCTGTCAGCTGAGGTCGAGCTGTTTAAATTTACGTTGAGTTCTATGTTAGCCCAGCTGAGGTCAGGCACTTTGCCTTTGGCAGTGAAGGTAGGCTGTTTTAAAGCAGTTCCTGAAGAGGCCTGCTTCTGTACAGTATGTGACCTGGGGGTGGTAGAAGATGCGCCTCATTTTGTTTTGTATTGTCCACTTTACTTTGAGTATCAAAACATTCTATTTGAGAAATTAAATACTTCTCATCAAGAGATCTTTTGGTGGCCTGAGGGAGAAATTATGAACTGGATGTATCGCCATGAAGTTTTTGCCTTTGATTCTTTTGTTGCTAAAGCCTGGGAGAGGAGACAACAGATTCTGTATCCTGTATGAGGCACCAAATTGTAAAAGGTTTTCTGATTTTTATGTGCTGTATGTATGTGGTCAGTAGCCATCAGATGTTGTTGTTCAGTATCACATAAGCCCATGGTGGGCACTTTTGTGCATGACACTTCAATAAAATATACTCAAACTCAAACTCTGCTGTAGCCACAGCTGCCCTAGGACAGACTGACAGAAGAGAGGCAGACGTTACACGCACCACAAGAAACCAAGTAGTTGTTGGCCAGACCAAAATGAGTTTGACTCTGGAACATGAAAAACTAAATTCCCACCTAACAACAGGGGGTACACATGCCCTTTAATGCTGGCATTGACCAGCAGACTGGACAAAAATGAAGCTGAACGCGCAAGTTCAGACTGAAAGACTGGCCACAGCTCTCACCCGCCCAGCGCCCACCAGGGCCTGCCAATCACACAGCGCTGTGTTGTAGAATTACATACCCCAAAGCAAGGAGAAAGCTCAAAAGTATTTGTCTTAATCAGGAGCGTAAGTTTATTGTACACACGTGCGGAGAGCTCACATACACAAAGGCAGCACACATCAGCTCTGGCGCGCAGAGCTCAGGTTCCTGTTTACATAGACAACACATAAAGACAGTCACGCCCACAACAGATGGGAGGGGGCCACCAGTACAGGAGGCGCATAGGGAGCGCAGGCGCCATGCCCGTGGTGAGGCAATCAGACAGTGGCATGGAGGTGCAAACAGACAGACAATGGTCATGCAGGATGTAGAGAGGCAGGCATACAGATGCAAGATGCGAAAGGGACAAGGGTGAGACAGTGATTTGCATCATTGTCTGGCGGTGCGGGAAGGACTGGCTCCTTCCTGCAGGTTAGCTGGATAGAGCAGCAGGGGGGGAGTGAGTTGGCGTCCCCGAGTCACAGGCAGATTGCCATCACACTCCTCTCCCGTGATAATGTAGAAACTCCAGTTTTACAGAGATCACATTCAGGTGGGTGAGTATTGACCTTGACCCCTGAGCAAAACAAGAGTTGTTGATGGGCAGGCTAGGCTGCCGTCACCCAAGCCTCTTGTATTACGAGGGTGTGGTCAAAGCTCTTCACTGTGATACCCTCCCCCTAAACTGTAGGCGAAACAAGTGGAAAAATAAAAACAAGGTAAACAAGAAAGAAAAACGTTAGACAAAGTCATCGTCCGAATCGCTGATATAATCAGGATCGGAGTTCAGTGGGACAGCGGCCAGGTCCGCCTCGGGGTCTTTGTATTGAATGGACACAAAGTGAGTGGATACCATTTTACCAACGGCCCGAAACACCATAGGTAATACACATGAAAATAAAATCATAACAGTCAATAGGGCTAAACCAAGATTAATGAGCACACTCCGCCAGGAGGACAGGAGCCAGTCCTGACCGTGAGGAGTGTCCGTGACATTGTCCGCTTGCATGGCGTCCCGGAGTCTAGTCAGATTGGCTATGCCCTGTTGGATAAGACCTCCGTCCTCATCATTAGCCGGAATATATGTACAGCAGGACGATACTAACATAATAAACACGGTCAGCACGGAAAGTACTGTCAGCGTGGCCAGCATAACAGTCCAAGGGCCCATGCCGGTCTTAGCCGGACTACATTCGGTAGTCTTTTCCGCGGGAATACTCACGAACAGTGCCGTCTTGCAGTCAGTGGCACCGCTCCCTATGAGCGTGTGTGGAGCGTTAGTGGTCATGGCGATGTTTGGTCTTGGAGCGGCAAGACTCTAATCGCGTTGAAGCCTTGGCCTCAGCACTCGGTTGGGCAGAGT